TTAAACCACAAATTAAAAAAGTTAGCGGAGTGTTGCTACATCGACTATCTTATAGCCTGACTCACAGTGCTGTGAGTCTTATATATATATATATATATATATATATATATATATATATATATATATATATATATATATATATATATATATATATATATATATATATATATATATATATATATATATATATATATATATATATATATATATATATATATATGATAATATTATTTAATCTATTTAATATTTTTGATACTAATTTCACAACACTGGATTTTAACTGTTGTGCATAATTTACATTTTCTATTATGAAATTCTATGCTTCTATCTATTCCAAGCTTTTTGAATTCATTATGACTAACATCTCCTGTTTGCTCTCAGTAAACTCAAAGGCAGTGGTCAGTAAAATGACGAAAAGGTAGTATATGATATACTGCTATGTAAACTCTCCAAGTAACACTAAGCTACACATTTTTGAATGTGACATGCGCACACTTAATTAAATCTACATTGGACACTTCAAGCACCAGTTTTATTTTTAACTTCTTGTATAAACATAAGACTTCTGCTTTTTAAAGGGCATTTAAACTTTCTAAGACAGTTTAAAATTAGAAATAAGTTATATTTTTTATTATTACTAATATCTCTCTAAAGTATATCCACCAATTTTGAGTACATGCTTGCATTGTTTCCATCAAATACTACACCTTGTTATCCTTAAAACATAATTCAGTTCATGTTTAACCACTTCTTAAACAAAGACAACAGGCTAAGGAGTAGTAGCACTGCAAGTTTACTTACTATTTCTGTTAGAACACTGAGCTCAGGAATAGGAACAAGATACTTCTCAAGATGAGTTTTAGGATCTTCCTCTTTGTACCAAAGTCCTATATTTATAATTTTTTTATTATATGGCATCTTTAAATTCTTTCCAACAAGGGGAAAGTTGCTGCAGTGTTCATCTAATGAATTGAAAGTTCTCTTCTTGTCAGGTTACAAAATGCAGGATTTCTTACAACATAAACTACTTTACTATCCAGCATGACTTCTTATTCTGAACAATGAACTTGTGCATTTAAGAATAAATTGGAACACAATACTTTAGATTTTGTAATTTCAGAGGCTCAATAAGCTCACAAAGGTTATGGTGAGTTTTAGCCTATTCATCCTGTGTAATCTTATCTCATTATTTAGCAAGGATAGAAAAAAAGGGAGAAAAAAAAATACAAGCACTGCTCATAATGAATGCATAAAAGGTAAGCATTGAACGCAAGTTTGAAGCTATAGCATCTTATATAAGACACAAATGATAACAAAAATTTTAATATTTGACACAACTGATAACAACTGACAAAGACACAAAAACTGACAAAGACACAACTGATAACAAATATTTTAAAATAAATTTTTATATCTTTTAGTTTGTTGACTTCTTAACAATTAAATTCAAAAGTAAAATTTCTTTACTTTGGCAAAAAAGTAAAAAAATAAACAATTAAATTCAAAAGCAAAGTATTTGCTTTAGAATTTAATTGTTTATTTTTGATTTTTTTAACTTAACTTTTTTAAACTGATCTTTTTAAACTTTTAAATTAACAGACTGTTTTGTGATATATATTAATGATATTTATAACCAATTTTGTTACCAGCAATAGTATCTAAAGCAATGCTATTACCCTTGCTTTTGGTACTATTGTTGGTGACAAAATTGGTTATGATGCCATGAGTGCCATTAACCACATATTAAAATGAGCTAAAAAGTGATTTTACTCGATTGTATTTATATATATTTATATTGTCAAAAGTATTATTCTTTTTATTTTTATAACGATTTGTGTCAATATTTTAATTAATTATGCATTAACCTTTTTATTATCCTAATGAGGTTACCACACCTAAACACGTGTATATTAAATTTACACCCTGTGGGGAAAAAAAAAGACTTTATTTCTTATATCAAAACACTCCATTTTTGATAGTTGTTGGAAATTGAGTCGGTAAGAGAATGAGCTGAATAAAATTAAACATTGAATGAATAGACAAAATTAAGATATCGTATAGCGTCTCCAAACGGACTGTGTTTGGATGTCCTCGGACATTCGAACGAAAGCGTACAAATCGAACGGACGAAAGTCGAACGGATGAAAAACAAACGGACGAAAGTCGTTTCGTCCGTTTGTTATGAACGTCGATTTAAGACGTCTCAACGGACCATTTTGGACGTTCTTGGACGTATTACGGACGTCCAGACGCCAATAGTGATCTACTGAAGCAGAAAAAAAGCCAAAACCGATACTTCGGTACAGAAACACAAATCAAACAAACATGTAAACTAAAATTAAAATCTTTATTAGTATCGGTCAAAGTTATTTTGTTTTAAGGTTAACTTTTCGTAAATATTTTATTTGGCAGTTGTTAAATTCGTTTGCTATTTTCAATTTTATCTCAAAATAACATTGAAATCAAAATAATATATAACTGTTTCATAAAGAGTTGTTTGAAATAGATTAGATTGTAAATTATTAATTTAATTATTATTATATTATTAGATAATTTCTTAGATTATTTTTAACAATTTCATTTATATTTAGTTTAAGTATATAAAGTAATAAATTATAAAAAATTTAGACTATATCTATTTTTTTTATATATAGATAATTATATCAAAACTGTATTTATAGTTTATGATAAAACTATAAACACGGTCTAAATGAAATAAAAAATTTTTAATAAATTTGTAAAAAGCTTAAAAAAACAACATTACAAAGTAATAATTACTTTCAATCAACAATATAGTTGTATGCATAAAATATTAGTAATCAATACTTTTTACAAATTTTATTGTTATTGCGGCGGACGTACATTTCAGACACCTGATTTAGATGTCCGTAAAAAACGAGTCACGTTTTACACAACATTTATTGAAAATTATACTCTAACCCCGAACCCAAAAATAAAGTTTATTTTAATGAGCGCCATACCCAAACCAAACCCTAAGCCAAACCTAAACCAAACCCGGAGCCTAACCCTAAGTTTCAGGGTTGTGGTTTGGATAGGGTATGGTTTTCGTTTTGTATAAGCATTAGATATTAGTAAAAAGCGCTATGTTTAGGTACGCATGCGTAAGAAAATGCAATAAAATTCTTAACTTTTAAAATGGCTACGGTTTTTAAATACAGAGAATATTTTATATGGCAACAGATAAGAATATTTTATATGGCAACAGATTATTTGTTAATTAATTTCTGAAAAGCCAATAATGTAGCTTTTTTTTAACGTAAATCAATATAATAATACAAAAATTTCACAAAAATATAAATAAATAGATGTAACAAAAATTTTTGCGGGCTTAAACTTTATTTTTATTTAATACCTTTTTAGTAGAGGTGTACCGGATATAGCATTTTACGTATCCGGCCGGATACGGATATGCCGGATTTAAAATTTCATATCCGGCCGGATATGCCGGATATACCGGATATATTGAAAATTAGGATAGGATTTAGTTTTGATGTTTGTCTTTAGTCAAATTGGGAAAGTGCAAAATAGTGTGTAAATCCACAAAAAAAAAAAAAAAAAAAAAAAAAAATTGTATTACATTTTGCATGTCTGTCTGCATAATTGGATTATCTGTTTTTATTGTAGTTTGAA